CGCAAGAAAGGTGCGCCATGTAGAGTGCATCTGAGATCTGGCTGCAATCGCAGCTTGTAGCTCGTCCCTGGATCTCCCCATAGATGTGACGGCTGAATGAAGTGTCTTCACCGACCTCTTGACATCCTTGGCCTTGATCCCCTGAATGTAGGATTGGACCTCTGGCGGGAGGCCGTCTTCGTACTTGTTCAGCAGGGCGACACACTCTTTGAGCTGCTGCGCCTCCTGTGTAGACACAGATGCCGGTGGATCGGTGGGCGCAACTGTGTTCTGCAAATGCGCCCAATTTGGCGCTACCGGCAACGGTGGCGGAGGTGGCGGCAACGGTTGTTGTGCTGAAGCCTGACCCCGACCACGAGACTGAGTTCGCCCATCCGCATCCATCTGCGGCTTGTTCTTCTTGCGTCGATTTTTCTTGGGTTGTCGCTGCCTTGGACTCGTAGTTCTCTGCCTTGGAGAGGAACCTGATTGTACCCATGGAGCCTCCCAGCCACTCTGGTCCTCGTTCCAGGTAGCATAGCTCCTGTCCTCGTTCTGCTCGATCGGAGTTCCAGTGCGCCAGTGACGAGTGCATGATGGGCAGTAGTCCATGGTCTTGCGGTTTCTGCGACCGCAACGACAAAGCCAAGGATATGCATCGGAAGCCGCCATCTCTGCTCGAATACGGCGTAGAAAGTGCGGATCCTGTGAGTGATGGGCCCTGAGCTGCTGATAGATCTGCGTAAGTTGGCTTCCCGTAAGCACTGCAATGCCTCTCCGATGCAAGTACCAACGAAGTCTTGCTTGTTGTCGGAGTCTGCGCTGAGCTCGCCGCTGTGAAGGTGTAATAGTGCTCGAGGAGGATGTAGACCACCAAGGGCACCACTCTCATACACAGGGAAGAAGCCAGCGCGTAGAGCTCGAAGAGAACCACGCAGTAGGGCTAGATCAGGGAACCGGTGATGGTGGTCTGCACTGTACCACCAGAGCACGTGCCGCGGCACAGCAAAGCCGCCAAAGGCTATGCGCCCGTGGGTGTACCGAACCCACTAAGGCAAAAACAGCAACAGGTACTAGCGGGGGGCTTCCCTGAGCTGAAAAACCTTCATTTTATGAATCATTTTAATCAACCTATCAAGCTATTTGTGGTTCATTCTCTTGCGGATGAACTGCATTTCTCCGAGGTGTGAGACCAGGCCCTGGCTGCCCAGTCGTTGACTGGGCGAGAAGCCAGGGCGCCCTTCGTTATCCGCATGATGCAAGTGACGTTGGCGAAACTCTTCAGCCACGTGAATTAATCACATTTGCATAAAAGGAAAATCTGGAAAAGGAAAAAATGAAGCATTCAGTTTGGTATACATCAAAATGTAAAATGGTGAACATCATTGTAACCATCATGTTGTAATGGTGGTTGCATTACAAAAAAAATGTTGTAATCATGCAGCATGATTGTTCCCATCAAAATAGCAATTTGGGTTTGTAGCCTATTGTACACACCATTGGTGAATCATGCTGAGACAGACCCAAGTGCGTGTAGTCTTTTTCTATCTTGTGTCAAAATGAGGCGTCTTTCCACTCTGTAATGGACATTGCACATATGGCACGATTGGCTGGGCACTTGTTGACAGATGGTCCCCGAAAAAAGCGTCCCGGATTCCAAATCGTGTCTTGTGGATTGCAGCGGCAGTGCAAACAGGGTAGTTGGTTTCTAGGAGAAACAGGGTTGTTTTGAGCTGAAAAGGTGATATTCCACATTCCAACAGAAGACATTATTTCAAGGGCTGAAGATAGCCGCAGCAAAAATGAAAGCATGGTGCTTGGCTGGTGCTTTCTTCCGAATAAAGTGGTGCTTTCTTGCCAGCTGAAGTGCGACACAAAATGCATGCTCACAGTTTGCGTTGAAACTGGATTTTGATCAACTAAATACCCTCAACCTGATTTCCAGATCCGGACAAACTGGTAGTTCTGGGTCTCCACTTTTCCCCTTTTGGCCGCACAGCTGACAAAAGGCGAGTTCTGCACGCTGGCATCACATTTTGGATCTATTTGAGCTCAAATCGTTGTGGCAACTATCTTTGTTTTGAATGGGATTATGATTATAATGGCTTATAATACCTGGGTAACTATACGTACTACTAAACGTAGTTATTAAATGGATTGTTTTGGGGATTATACAGAAAAAAACTGGTTCACTGGAAAAGTGTACCTGGTTTAATGCAATTAATGGGACCCCCCATCATCCCCAATCAACATTTAGCCCTTGAATCCGCGGAAATTTCTTGATAGCTCCCTAGGTGCACCAGAAAATGGATGAAACTGGGTCTTAAAAATGGAATGTAGCCCAACATTGTCACTTGAAAAAATCATATATGTTAATAGATTTAACTTTGATATATGTTTAACTTAACGTTTCTCAGAAACTAATTCTTCTATCATCATATTGAATCAACCATCAAAAATTGAAGGTACTGCATGGCCCGGGTTTCTGTTCAATCGCACGTGAAGCTTTTGCCCAGAAGAAGCTGGCATAGATTCATATAGATTCGATTCACATCGTTGGTTATACGGAATGATTCCTACTATCAGATGGATCTTGGCATAGATTATAGACACATATGTATCTTATTCTGTATCATTCATTGGCTTGAATCTTGTTCACACATGTTGGATCACCTCGCAGCAGTGAAACCAGGGTGTGGATTCCACACATTTCCACATGTTCCTGGCCATACCATCATCGCAACCTCAAATGGACCTCGAGTGTGGCTGCTGTTTTGTGTCCATGTGCAAACCGGCAGATGCGCATGGTTCAGCCGGTGGTTCGTGTCGTCAAGGAGGGATTTTTTTGAGGTCAGACATGTTTGAGTACCGGAGCGTGTCCAACATTCCTGTCCCAGTAGAAATGCTCCTAATCATTGTCTTCAGCTGCATGTTTCACCAGTGGACATGATGCAGCAATTTCTCGTAGCGAGTGGATTGGAACGGATCGAACAGAACGGACATGGAATTCTATCCGAATAAAATGCATTGAACTGTGATAGGAATAAGATGAGACGGAGCGAGATAGAATGCAGCGGAATGAAATTAAGTGAAAATCTGACGGAATGAAATGGGACGAAATGAGGGGGAATGGAATGGAGTTGAGTAAACATTCAAATCGAATGGAAGACATCATTAGATGAAAGTTGGAGACATCAGCGAAGGAAACATTCTGAACGTCAGGGAGAGGCTGTCAAGTCCTTTTGCTGGGGACCATGAGCTAATGTCTCCGAGTCTCCCGGGGCCCGATGAGGCCCCAACATGAACCACATGAAGCACAGACCGCATCAGTGAATGATCTGAAGAGATATTCACATGTCGTGACCAAAGTCGGCCATTTTGACACAAAGTGTGGCCATTTTGTCGCATGGCGTAACTTGCCGCTGCTCCGCGAACCAATTTTGTTGCAAAATATGATGAGCTGCCGAGACGTGGAGGAGACGTCCATGATGGCATTGGATTCAAGGCAGTGATTTGCTCATCAAACTCACCTTCCATGGATTCGCATGAAACCTTACTGATATTTACTGATACCTTACAACGTTGGGCATTTTCACAGGCTTCGCGCCGACATTGGATGAGAATCATCCAGCATCCCTTGGGCCTTGCTTGGGCCTTTTTGATCCTTTTTTTTGGGTCCCCCGTTTGGGAGGTATGTTTGCTATTACGGGGATGGGACTACTGCACATTACTGCAGAGACTGCTCGAAACACCGCTGCTGATTGAAGATCAAGAGCGGTGTATTTTCCGGGCTGAAATAGTGGGATCACAGCGAAAAAAAAATGGGCTCAGATACGCAGGGCATCAACATCATCAACTGCTTGGTGGTTTCAAAACTGAGTTGATGACATCCCAGTTGAGCAGATTTTTGCAGGCTCTACACCACTCGCAGCAGATGCACCGCGAGAGACATGGCTTTGACCAAGGAAAACATACTTCTTAATATATATTCCATGATAATATAACATATATTGACATATGCAACATGGCATGAAAGCAACAATTTCTTGATATCAACACAGAATGATGGAGATTTTCAATCAGCAACATCCTAGGTGCACCAAAAAACAGCCCCATCGACAGAAATCCGCATGATCCACGGCTGAGTTCTCCGCCGACTTGGTGGCTGTGTGCTGGAGGCGAAAAACGTTCCAAACCTGGGTGAACAATGAATCCCAGAAGGGGTGGCTATAGTTGGATCAGTTGTGGATATTTCATGATACTTCTTGATCTTGCTCTTTGTTGTGTGTTCCCATGAACCACCAGGGTTTTTGATGGTCATAGGGCACCCTTCTCGCAACCTGTGAGATCTTAAGTAGTTCTTTTGATTTTCTGGGTAAACCTGGTTTGCTTAGTCTTACAGTTCCTTTTTTCACCATATAATGAAGATATGTTTTAACACATATATTTCTAAGTCAAAGATATGTAAAAGCATATTTCTTTAACATATATATCATCTATTCTTTGCGCGGTATCTGAGACTAGCATCTTTTCATCGCTTGGCACGAGAGGGGTCGTGATATGGTTGGATATGTGCTTCGTAAACAGCTTCAATCTTCCCTTTGTACAAGGCTCCCCGAGACCTAAGGAGGATAAAGAACATGGTGGCTATTTCAGTACAACAAGAACTTCACTTAGCCAATCGCTTTAAGCTGAAACACAGCCTTGACGTTGTTGCACGATGTTGCACGTTGCAGTTCCTGTCATGGAAATCAACCCTTTTATCCCGAGGCTTGCTGCAAGAGATAGTGGCAAAGTTCAAAGTGGAATCTGATTTTGCCCTTTTCAGCAAGAGATTCATTTCAAGATGACTTTCGATCAGAAAATGCGAAATTGGCCTGAACGGCATCAGTGTTCCCCCATATTTTCAAGGCAGTTTTAGTTGCAGCTGAGTTTCCTGGTGAACCTAATTATACAATATGTGACATGTGTTTTCTTTTTTCACTTAGCCTCTTGTAGTGTAATTTCAACAACACACCACGCGAAATTTCATCGACAATTTGGGGAGCTTTTCCAGCTCCAGGTGCATGGCCAGCCAACTTAGGGACCAGGCGGGACGTTGTGTTTCTGGCTCCCGAAATCCCGTCAACCGTAACAAGTTTGGTGCTAACACCCCATTAAAAAAAGTCCCTCTGGTAATTTAACGTAGCTATGGAAAATCACCATTTTTGATGGGAAAACTCACTCTTTCTATGGCCATTTTCAATAGCTATGTTAGTTTACCAGAGGGTAGATCAAAATCCCATGGGTTTCCTATGGATTTTCCCCCTCGAAAAGTCCCGAAGTTTCCATGGAGGCATTAGAGGCGGACCACAATGATGTCGTGGCCTCCATGAATTCCATCATCCTCTCGTGCCTGGGATGGCGAGGTGAAAATTGGATTCCAACATCCAACCATCCCCAGGAACTAAGGAACTAGCTAGGTAAAAATATGACATAAATTATATGATTTTTATTCCCCACCTGCCAGGTGAGGATTGTTAGATTTTATGTCAGTTGTCTCCTCCTCCTGCCTCGTCCTCCTCTCGTCCTCCTCTCCTCCTCCTCCTCCTCTCCTCCTCGTCCTCCTCGTCCTCCTTGTCATCCTTGTCGTCCTCTCGTTGTCCTCGTCGTCCTCGTCGTCCTCCTCGTCCTCCTGCTCAACTGCGACTCGCGATCCACAGTGTTCGCTGCCGGACCTCAACCACGACCATCCACGCCCAGTGTTCCCTGCCGGACCTGAACCACGACCATCCACGCCCAGTGTTCCCTGCCGGACCTCAACCGCGAGGATCCATGCCAAGTGTTCCCTGCCGGACCTCAACCGCGAGTATCCATGCCAAGTGTTCCCTGCCGGACCTCATGTAGGAAGATATGGGACAAAGAATGTGCAGAAGAAAGTTAGAAAGAATGTCAGAAGATATGCCAAATAGAATGCCAGATAGAATGCCAGAAGATATGTCAGAATATATGCCAGAAGATATACCAGAAGATATGCCAGAAGATATGTCAGAATATATGCCAGAAGATATGCCAGAAGATATGCCAGATAGAATGCATCAGATTTGCCAGATAGAATGCCAGAAGATATGCCAGATAGAATGCCAGAAGATATGCCAGATAGAATGCCAGATAAAATGCCAGAAGATTTGCCAGATAGAATGCCACAAGAAAATGCCAGAAGATATGCCAGATAGAATGCCAGAAGATATGTCAGATAGAATGCCAGAAGATTTGTCAGTAAGAAAATCTATAAATGTCATGGTGGGGATCACACGAAGTAAAGTAATTATGATTTTTATGACTAGCTGGGTAAAAATCACAGCAAACGAAATGAACTGTAATGGAACGCACTTTTGGACATGAACGTACCTTTATGAGCTTTGAAATGGTTTGTTGGTGGTTTCTGCACGGTTACGTTATGGTTAATCATGGAACCATGCATTCATCACCATCGGTAGAGATTTTGGCACCTTAAGGCTGGGATTGTTTCAGGGAAATCTTTGATGAAGCAATACGAATTTTATGTGACTTGTCTAAAGTTGTGGGCTTAGAAATGCCTGTGTCAACAGAGGATAATGATAATATAATAGTAATAGTAATGATAATCATAATCATAATGGTGGTACATTATATATATCCCACTTCCTTTTTACAGGGACCTCTCTTAACTGCAAAGAGGCGCACATCATTTGTCGAGTGGCTGAACATGTTCGGTTTTTGTTGTTTTTAAACTCTAACCCCACTTATAGAGAAGCAGTTTTAATATGGGAATGGCTCACAATTGTTGACCACCGAAGTTGGATGGTCTCAGATTAACATCCTACAACCCAGCACATTGATAGGTCCAGAACCCCAGAACCCCCCAACTGTTGCTTTCGCTGCTTCGCCATCCCAGGGGTTCTTTGTTGGCCCTGGTTGGCATTGGCTACAGGATCAACACGTCTGTGATCCCAGTGCTGAGCTATGCACCTGATGCTGCAAGGAGTTGGGCACTGGGTACAGTAGCTGGTGTGAACAGCAGCCATTGGCTTCCATAGCTTTCGAGATGGAACCCAACACACACACATGAATGGGATAGCCAACGTCTCCCGAAAACCAACTTGAATGCTTCCGCATATGACTGGCCCCATCTTTATTTCCTGCTGACGTGGGGCAACAGAACAGGAATGCAATGCAGTGAAGTTGGAGAAAGGTCCCATGAAATTCTATAATATTGAAATGTTCATCCAGCAACCGAATACCGAGTCTGGGTTTGTCCATGGACACGGCCAAACACCTTCTGGTGTGCACCTACACGGAAATTGTCTATATACTTTATATATACATCCTGATATATATATAATAATATACTTATATAATATATATATATAATATAATATATATATATATAATATAATATATAATATATAATATATAATATATATATAATATATAATATATAATATATAATATATATATATATATAATATATATAATATATATATAATATACACATATGAAAGATATCAGGAGCCAACCAAGTGCATTGCACAGCCTGTGGTTCACAGCCATGGCATTGGCGAATTTTTGGACTCCGTTTCCAGGGCTGGGACGGCCCTCAAGCAGTCTTTGCACTCGGAGGCCCCACAGTTTCATGAATTTCCATATAGAAACAATTAAGATCTATATAACTTTGTTTCAATATTGTTTCAATCAGATATTTTCAAATAATACCTATAACCCATAGGATCCATGGTGCTGCTATATATGGTAACATGGATCCCATCAATATACCCCCTTTATGTTAGCATATATAGCATACATGGATCCTATGGGTAATATAACAAACAGATTCCATTCCACTGGAAATCGTCTCCATGGCACAGGGCGGCGCCGCGGCAGCCCGTCAGCTTCGCCAAGCGCCACACCGCGGCCGCGTCGCCTTCGTCGCCTTCGGCGCCGAAGCCGGCGCCGGAGGCGGTGCTGGAGGTGGCCATCGTGGCTCGGCGGGGCAAAAGCTATTAATGTGGGTAAAACAATGGTTTATACCATTATTACCCCAAATATACCATTATTACCCATTATTACCCATTTATACCATATTACCATATCACCACCTATTTGGGCATGGTTTATAGATGTTTATAGTGCCTATGACTAGATTTATGGTGATGTTATTTGGGGATGGTAAACATGATTGTTTTACCATGTTTTAGCCACATTACCATAGGACTGGGGGAATCAACATCAGCTGTACCGAGGGGACCAAGATTTTGATCCATAACCATATGGGGTATGATTGTGGAAGAATACGAAGTCATGGTCCAATGGCTTGGATGATGACTGGGGTATCCCCATGACTTAGGAAACCTCCTAATATCATCAATATGTTGATGATAATATGGAAAAATGCGATGATGAATGGACAAACTTACTATATATATAATATACATACAAGTTGTTTTCTTTTTTTAAGTGACCCAAAAGAGAGAAAGTTGGGGCTGGACTCAGGTGGGCGGTGGATTGAGCGGCCTTTGCTGCGCGATGCTTTGTGGCAAGATGAACGGCAAGAAGCGGATCAGGTCCAGAGCGGCGAGTTGCGGGGTGGTTGGAGAATCGGGTAGGCCATGGATGGCCATGGTAGCCCAAAATCTCGTGGTTGATCAGTTGGTCAATGCTGGTCATCTCTTCTCCATGGAGGGTTGGATATGACCCTATTTTTTGGACGGGCACTGACAAATGCAAAGTGACAGTGATATGATGTGCATGGAGTGGAACTCTGAGGTGAAAAGGCAGAAAGGATGAATCATGATGAATCGTAAATCACAAAGATTGAGCTCAAACAAATACTGTACCACCTGCTAGTGTTTGTCAGGGTCTATGATCCACCCACCAAGAAGGACTGAGATGGGATCGGGATTGTCTTGCTATGTCTTGTCAGTGACGTTTTGTTGCACTTCATGAAACTTGATATACATGTCTCCTAGGAATGATTTGAAGCTTGATTGGAGAACTAGCTTGGTTAATAGCCACTGCTTCATATCTAGATGCACTCATACTCAGGTTGGCGACAGCAACAGTCCGCATGTTGCAAGAAGCAAGAAATTTGCGTGGGTGTTGTGCGTTTTCCTCCACGAGTTGTTTTTTTTTGTGTGTCTCTCTCATCTCTCTCTACGTGGACATGCAATCACCTTTCCATCCGCAAGTGATATGTAATGCCTTCCAGTCATCAACTTCCAGCAGAAATATCTCTAAAGATCGCTTTGTCTAAAAAATCGCTTGGGATTTCTGTTGCGCCATTTCCCCAAGATGGCGAAATTTCCCCAAATGGATCATTCTCACAGATCCAGATCCTGCAGGACTTCCGTGTGGTGAACCTGCAAAGCAGCACCTGGTCCAAGTTCCCTGAGGCACAATCTTCCAGCCATGGCTGGGGCAGAGATGTTTGGAAAATGGAATCAATATGGCCATGGATGATGCAAGGGCGCCAGACCCTTGAAAAAGCAGGCAAATTGGCAAAAACAAAGTCAAAATGGCCATGGATGATTTATGATCAATATGTTCAGATATCAATCTTGGGGGGTGTCCAAACATCCATGTTTTTAATGTGTTTTTAGAGTCGAACATCCATGAATGGAAGTAACGTGGATGATAAAATGGGTACCCAATTTTAGGACACCTCCATATATATATATATATCATATATGTGATAGATTTGGAATCCAATATGAATCAATATGTTTTTTGGAATCCAATATGAAACTTAGGGTTAGATTTGGAATGGAATTTTTAATCATGTCTTATTTTCCTGCGGAAAAGGACGCAGAACCGTGCCACCGGAGCGTTTGATACATCAGGATATATCAGGATGACTTCTCCAGACTGGAAGAGCAGTCGTAGACTCGTAGACCATCGGTTCTCTTCGGGCTTCAACGTTTAACGTGTCTAAAACTCATCCCCGCAAAAAGAAGACCATCCAAACAAAAAGCTGATGGTCCTAATAGGAAGCTTCCCCCATCCCACGTGTCATGTTCAGGCTTTTCAGGAGCGGCTGAAGGAGGTGGGCATGACAAAGCAATGGCCCTTCCAGCGTGAAAGTCCGCGGAGTTTGGGCCCCCCCCTGAGTGGCTTGGGGCTGAAAGATGGCGACTGGTGAGCCGTGGTTCGGGTCATGTGGGGCTGGGTTTAGAAATGATGGATTAATACATGCAACAACTCCGGGATAAGTATGGATAAGTTATCCCAAACTGGCATTGTTTCACAAGAATGATTAAAGTTTACCCTCTGGTGAACTAACATAGCAATTGAAAATGGCCATTTATAGTGGATTTTCCCATTAAAAATGGTGATTTTCCATAGCTAGGTTAAATTACCAGAGGGTAGCCAGATTTGTGGCTGATTTTTCCAAACCTGGAGACTTGCAGCATCAAACATGGAGGTAGTGAAAGCAGCAATGGGCTTTCGGCTGTTGCGATTGACTCGCTGCCTGTCTCCTGAAAAGTGGGGTTATACCATGATATCCCAGCTTTTGTTTACAACAATGATGGAAAGCCCATCCTCAATGGAGATGTTTGAGGCTGAGGGTTTGCAAATTCTGAACATTGCAGTTCTTCAGTGGTTCTAGTTCAAGTTTACTGAATCTGCTTGATGGACTTCCGATTTGTAGGCGACGCCAACATCGGTGCCTGGTCTGTTTTTGGCAGCCGTTACAGTGTTATAGGATGCTATAGGCTTTTCTTGATGTCTCCGTTTGTGAGTTTTTGTTTTTTTGGTTATCAGGGGGTTGAGGGGGTGATGTTTCCGTCCTGTGTAAATGTTGGGGATCATGGTCGTCCCATGTCGTCCCCTTCTATCAATTTCTCATGTTTTTGATGAGTCGATCAACTTCAGCCCTCAGTCGATGGTGGTTCTCTTTTTGCACGGCTTAGTTAACAGAGACATGGGAAAACCCACCGTTTTTGGATTATCCTCGGGACTTTCGTTTTTTCTCTTTTCCGTATCGTTTTGTGAATCCCCCAGAGCCTGTTTTTTTCGCCCAAGTGGGTCCGGGAGTGGCGATGTTTTTTTGAGGTCTTTTCGCCCACGAATTGCAGGAAGAGCTTCAGAGTTTTGTGCTTAGGCTGCATATTTCTGGACTAATTACACTTCACCACAAAATATCACCACAAAAGCTGGCTAGTACGATGAATCATTGCCAAGATTGGCCCAACACCGCTTAATTCCACGTTAAGAGTTTGAGATGTTTTTTTATTTGCACGATGTTCTTGTAGCAAACCACCCAGCAAATACAGATTCTTGGGATAAAACTGTGCTCAAAATCAGCGCTCGCTGCTTCAAAAGAACTCGGATTCTGACTGTCCACCTAATTTTCATTATTGGATACGACATGATATGATTTCAGATTATTTCATATTATTTCTACTGTTCAAATTCCCCAAAATACAACAAACATCTATAGTCTATACGTTTGTTGTTGCTTGTGTGTTTTTCTCTTGGAATATCTTCATGTTTTATCCATCATTTTCTGGGTTTTTCTCACCAGCTAACTGTAGTTGATGAAACATTCCTGAAGCACAGCCCTTTTTGGTGCCGGGCATTTGAGAGGCTCGGGAGGGACTGTTGTGACATTTTCCTACATTTTCTATCATACTATTAAGGTGGGGTGGGCTAATAACGTTCATTGATGCTACGCTATGGTACTTGTACGTTCTCTTGCACTTCCACACATACGTTGGAGCCCAGTTGGCTGACCGCAAGTGGGACCAGCCCGACAGTTGGTTGCCGTGCAGCATCACGACCTTGCAGAAAGGAAAGTTGAACCCAGCTTTGTATGAATACACGTACAGCTACATGAAGCTCAACGAGATCTTGATGTTGAACTGCTGCTGCTGCCGCCGCCGCTGCTGCTGCCGTTGCTGCTGATGCTGCTGATGCTGCTGATGAGGAGGAGGAGGAGGATGAGGATGAGAAAGAGGTTGATGATGATGATGATGATGATGAGGAGGAGGAGGAGGATGAGGAGGAGGAGGAGGACGACGACGACGACGACATGTTGAAGTTGATATTGAGGTTGAGGTTGACGACGATGTTGGTAATGAAGCTAAAGTTTCGTTTTCGGTCCTTTTCAATTCCCCCTATACCCTATACAAAACTTTGGAAACTGTCAACAGGGAGCCCTTCAGATGCCCGGAACCATGTTTTGTCCACCGTTTTCTGGGATTTTCTCACCAGCTATACTGTAGTTGATGAAGCATTCCTGAAGCACAGCTGTCTGAGGTGGACGAGCTAGACGGCATTGAGCTGATCTTGGATGTACCCAGCTTCCCAGAGCTCATGCAGGATCCCCAACCCCACCCCTTATCTCAATCCAATTTCTTCTTATCATATTATATACTTTTGCATACTCTTGCATAATATGTGATCATCACATGATATTCCCATTGATTATATGATATTCCCATCCAATTCCCATCCAATAAGTTACCTTACCTCATTGTCCCTACCCCATCCTGGCCATGGCCAGGACCCATGTCATGCCCTGGTCCTGGCCGACGGCCCGGCGGCTTCGACCCTCCGCGGCGCCCTAGACTTCGACCGGGGCGACGGCGTCGCCGCGCCGCTGGCGCTGGGCCTTCCACTGCGCGCGGATCAGTCGACCGCGGCGGCGACGGCGCTGAGCTGCGCGCAACGAAGGTTTCAAGTGAACTTGGCAGGACGGGAGGGGAGATGTTGGGAGTAAGGGAAGGGGTTGAAAATTCTTTGTTCTTTTGTGTGTGTTTTTTTTTTGGTCTGAGTCATGTCAAGTGAAGATCTTATTGTCAAGTGAGATAGCGAAAACGTGGAAAAAACCACAGGATCTCCAGGCTCCAGGGATTTTGGCACAAAAACCGTGGAAGTTTCACAATGTTTCACAGATACCAGACCAGTTCTGCATGCAAAGCAGTGGTTTTCCTCAACCTGTCTCGGTCAGCAGGTGGTTTCTCAATTGCTGATTGGGGTTTGATTTTATGTCTTTCAATTCCATCTATACTTCATCTTCAACACACCCTGGCAAGTTGCTGCACATCTCCCTTTCTTTGCATGCTTTTCCAGTTGATTTGGGTGAAATCTTAGTCTCAGTCAGCTGCTACTGGAGGGACTTCCGGTCTCTTGAGCATGGTGCTGTCGGACAGCGAACTTCAAGAGCTTGAAACCAAAGGCTCGGAGCCGCTGTGGCAAGAGATGAAGGACGGAGGGCTGGGAAGGGTCTTTTTTTTGCCCAAGAAATGAGGGATTTCACGGGATTTGCCATGGTTTTGCCATGATTTGCCACAGTTGATGGCCATGACATCAAGGGAAGAATGATCGAAGAACATATATCATCATATATCCACAAAGCTGGTTATCGAATGGGGTACATGATTTATTTTCGAGGGATGCAGCGACTACTTGATTTTTTTTGTTGTCATTATTTGTCATTCAAGTCGCCGGGATCCGACTTCCTACGAGCCATTTTTAGATTTCCCGACCACAATCATGGTGAATCATTGTGATCATAGTCATTTGGAATTCAAATTTCACCATCATGTTCAATCGTTTTGAATGATATTGACATATGTAAATTCGGAAACCACATGAACCCACATATTCACCTACTTAAACAGTTCGATATGGGTTCAACCCACCATGAAAGTAGATCATGTTCCTATAGTTAAACCATGTTAAACCATGTTAAACCATGGGTTTTCCCCATCTTTCTGTACGTTTACCAGGAAGGTCTTCGCCTATTTGGGCTCGAAGAGCCGGACGCTGAGGGCCTGCTGCTGCAGCCAGATCTGGCTACATCAAGGTGGACAGTGACAAAATCTTCATGGTTGATTTTGGTGGATGATAGTTGATTATGTAATAGTTAATGGATTTTAATGGCATATGGCTGATTATATATATATATATATCTACATATATATATATATATGTACAAAAATATACAATGTAATTATCTATTATATTATATATATATGGCTGCGAGTCAAAATGTACCGACCGATCCATACATCCCGATCACCGCGGGTCGATCCATACCTAAATGTTGACGCATAGCCATACAGTTTGATGATGGTTTTGTATGGTTCTGGGTAAATTATAACGACCTCACTGCGACCTCACTGGAATCATATAGTTAATAAGGGAAATCATCCCCAAATGGGCCTTATTTCACGTTAGTGAATTATTGTAATTTACCCAGATGGTTGCTTATTGTTGATTCAAGGGTTCAAGTTTCGAAGTTTCAGTCAGGGGCACTCAATACCTACTCTGAAGCTGAAGTGCTCCACTTGTTGGTCGAAACCCCCAATCCATCGATATGGAAGTTTTCTAAGTCATTGGGGCACCCCTAAATCATCCAAGTCTTTAGACCATTTTAGTATTGAAATCAATGGTGACTTGGGGATCCACCATTTTAAGAAACTCTCATAAACTGTACCACCTATAGATACCCTCTGGTTATTTAACGTAGCTATGGAAAAAGAAACACATGTTTTTACAGGATAAACATGGTTAACCATCATAAATCATCTAGAAATGGGCCAAAAAAATGTCCCACATCTACGTGAGTTTCGCCTAGGGTCCCCACCCATGGTCTGGCTGTGTCCTGGTAGATACTTCTTGGAACTGAAAGAGCACACCGTACCTGTGGGCTCCACGGCTCTGACACATCCCTGGGCCTTCCTGGTGCGGATCTCAGGTACCAGTGGAATGATGGTTAGTAAACCACCCATTTTGGGGGTAAGCATAGCACCATATACCACCTATAAAAATGCTGATGACTGGATGGTGCAGATGTTTTTTTTTACCCACAAATAAACCCAATTTATGAAATGGTGAGTGAATTGTTGGTGATTGAAGTATTCTATGTTCCTTAGCCAGACAATTTTTGTACTCTACTTATTCACCCCGCTTCGCGTGGGCTTGCCGCCCACACCGCAGGTTTATTTCGGTCCGTGAGAGGGGCTAAGGGTGGTTTTCCCCCGTGGGGGCTCCCCAAGCTAAGAATTTTCACTTTCCCCCCCCGTGGGGGCTCCCCAAGCTAGGGAATTTTCACTTTTCCCCCCGTGGGGGCTCCCCAAGCTAGGGAATTTTCACTTTCCCCCCCCGTGGGGGCTCCCCAAGCTAGGGAATTTTCACTTTTCCCCCCCGTGGGGGCTCCCCAAGCTAGGGAATTTTCACTTTTCCCCCCCGTGGGGGGCTCCCCAAGCTAGGGAATTTTCACTTTTCCCCCCCGTGGGGGCTTCCCAAGCTAGGGAATTTTCACTTTTCCCCGCCGTGACAGCTTCCCAAGCTATGGAATTTTCACTTTCCCCTCCCTTGGAGGCTCTCCAAGCTGCGGAATTTCAAATAGCTAGACAACGACGCCTAGATAGTCCCCCAAATCCCGTGTTCTTTGAATGTGTTTCCATGTTTTTGCAATGGTTTCCTTCAAAGCACGGTACTTTACACTTTTGTCGCCATAAACCCGGTCGAAAACATCATGTTCGACAATGCTTCCAATTCCCTTATCTCCCCAACCGTTGAAAATACCGCTATTTACAGTGTTTTCTTCAATTTTTCCATGTGCCAATGCCGGTAGCCAACTCCAACATATATATAAGAAATCCTTCCAAAACATTGTTTTGGACAGTGTTTTTCCAATGTTTCCAGTCAAACAGACGGTAATTTACACGTTTTTTGCCATAAAGGCAGTAAATCCTTCCAAAACATTGCTTTTGACAGTGTTTTTGTAGTGTTTCCAGTCAAGCATACGGTAATTTACACGTTTTTTGCTATAACGTCAGTCCAAAACACTTGTTTTTGCAGTGTTTTCAATGCTCTGGCATCCAAAAACCCTGCAAAATCTTGCTATGTACATCTATGTACAATGTTTTTTTCATTTTTGGCCGTTTTTCCATTGCCGGAAAGCTACCAAAATGACCCAAAATTCCATTTCAATACCCTCTTGCGCTCAGACACCCAAAAATCCTCCAAAAATGTCGAAAACACCACCGTATTCTGGTCTCGGTGCGAAACCGTTTTTGGGCCCCCCCCCCAGCTAAAGCTGATATAGCGACTCCTATATTAACAAATGTCATTGAGCATTTAGTGTTGCTGTTGCCCCCCAATAAGCACGCCTTCACCGCCAAAGCGGTGTGGGCGGATTTTAGGGGGAAGAAATGGGTAGAAACTGATGTTAGGACACGTCATTTCCTTAGATTGTTATGAAATAAATCCGTTCAACTTCGCAGAATCCCTCCGAGTTTTCCATGGTTTTAGGCTTTCCTATGGTTTTCCATGGTTTTCATGCTGTTTTCATGAATTTTTCTATGGTGTTTTCCTACTTGGTGGGTCATGGGTTATAACCCTGGTTTTAAATGGGATAAGTAGGGTTAGTCCACTTACAACTGGGGTTATAACCCACTTAAGCGGGATTTCCTGGGATTTTCTATTGTTTTCCCATGGTTTTCCTGGGATTTTCAGGGGATTCCCCCAAGGCGGTCCCCCATGGCGGTCAGGTGGGTGAATCTGCTGGTTTGGTGAACCCATGGCCCGGGCGGGTACCTTGGCGCAGCGCGAAGATGGAAAATCTGAAGAAATGTCTGGTGAATAGTGGTGAACTGTGGTTAATATAGTGATTACCCTCTGGTAAACGTTTACATAACTATGGAAAGATCCACCATTTTTTATGGGAAAACTCACTGTAACTGGTCATTTTCAATAGCTATGTTAAATTACCAGAGGGTAATATAGTGGTTAATACTGGTTAATTAATAGTAATGTGTCTTCAAAACATCATTAATCAAGAACTGTCTAGTTAATCCAAGTTACATATCTGTCGAACTCGCAACATGAATGTCCAATTTATATGAACAATTACTATCTTCATCAATAGTGTTGCGCCCAGACGGTCCAGACACGTCGTTTCGCCCAACATGACTTGTGGCACAGGTATCCTACCTGACCCATCATTTATAATGTTTTGAGATTGCCTCGGGCAAAACGAGGTGTTTGGCCGCAATGTTAATAATGTTAAATGATAAATGGTTTTCTATTCATTGGTTTCTCACTTTCTGGATGTGTGTGGACATGTCTGGAAACGGCCACTGTAGGTCCCAAGTGCAGCAGTGCAACAGTAAACTCCAGCTAGTCTTGCACTTTATCTTTGCAACTGCCTTTGTTGATCTTAGTTGGGATTAATTGATTATAGATTTTAGATATAGTGTGTGGTCTAAGTTCACTTGCTTGATTTCACAACCTAAGTTGGGAGAGGTAACCCCCCAGGACAGCCTGCAGGCTCTGAATGCCTCCATCAAGTCATCCATGGTCTTGGCTCAGCATCTCAAGGCGCCGGCGGCAAAGTATGTGGTGTTGATGTGGAATATCTCGGAATACCTTGGAATGTGGCAGAGTCTATACTAAAGATATCTAAAGATGATCGGATGATATTGGATGATATGGATTGATCATGGATGTTAGTGGAATCTGTTATTGATACTACTCTAATGGGTATTTACCACTAACATGTTAGTATCATCCAATATCATCTAATAGGTAAATTGATCTAATGATGGTTGCGTATTTACCACCAGTTTCTGCGGTTATCTCCGTTGGTCCATGGGCTGTGCAGGCAATGGCTCAAGCCATCCGTGCTGGATATCCAGTGGATGAGAACTTCAGCAAGGAGTATGGCGAGCAGCCCCATGGCGAACGGGGAAACACTTCGTTGTATCATGGGTATATCATGGGTATATCATGGCATGATCAATATGAAATGCATATAATTATAATATGATTATAATGATAATAATACTAGACATATTATAAATGTATATATATATATATATATACTGATACTATAAAATACATGCATAACGACTGTCGTTATGTCGCTTGGTGGTTTGGAATATTTGTCATTGTCCATCCTATTGGGGATGATCCACAATGACTTTCCTCGATGGAGATGACCAATGGCATCAACCATGGCGAAATCCGAGGACTTTCTATGGAGGTTCTAATGGAAAATCAACACATGGCTGGCATGATTTTATCTCAGGAACTTCCCTGCACCAAACTCACCAAACGACAGCCGTCCAAGGCTGTCTCGCATCCATAGCATTGAAGATGCAATCCATTGCAGGCACCAAAAATTGCAACGATGATACCTCCAGTAGATTCCTCCACTGGTGAATTCGGTGAGACTGATTGCCCTAATATTGGGGGATGGTCATCAATCCAGTAGGGATGTAGATTAGCCCAGTATAACGCCACAAGCCATATGGCGGTTTCCTAAAATAGGGGTACCCCCAAATCATCCACTAAAGAATAGGAGTTTCCATGATAAACCATCCATTTTGGAGATTTCCCCATTTTAGGACACCACCATATGCTCTGTTTTGACCATGATCTTCGGCCAGGCAGTGTCAAGCAGCTCAGACGAAGGCAAAGAACTTCAACTTGAGCACCTGCCTCTCGCCTGATGATTTTTTTGTTGGTGGGTATATTCAAAGATGTCATATTTAAGGGACCTACCAACCGCAGTTATGTTTTCTAACAGACCAGTCAGTCCAAATAAGTTTCCTGATGTTTCCTGAAAAATGAATGCTGAAGCCCTTCGTCAGATGGGCATCAGGCATGGAGGAAGTTGAAGCTGGTAGTAGGGCAGAGGAGGCTGCGAAGTTTAAGCGGAGCCTGCGAAAGACCTTGCAGCGCTTGGAGAATGTGCTACCGGATGAGATGAAGGTTGATGAGGAGGTGCGGATGGGAACCGATGGGATCGGATGGGATCGGATGCATCGGGAATAGATATTAGATCATAATTATACACATGTATGCTGTTAACGGTTTCGTTGTAATTTGATACTGCAGATCTTTACATGGATAACATGTTTATATAATGGTGTATGACGAAGATGTACAACAGAGATGGACAAACAAACCGAACCACGGCGAGATGCTGGAGAAACTCCCAGCGATTGGTGACCCAGGCCATTTGGAAACAGGTGAAGGATGCCAATCTCAGTGCCAGGACGGGAGTCGCAGCCAGTCAAGGCTCTTTTGGTCATCAAACATTGCTGCAAAGTCCCGCAGCAAAACTTTGATGATTTTCCAAGATGAAGAGATGCCCATATTAACTGGGAATTTCTCAGGATTTGCCGTGTTTGGTGACACCAGCATCATCGTCATCGTCATGGTCATCATCATGGTCATCGTCATCGTCATCATCATCATCATCATCATCATCATCATCATCGGTTATATATTATGCAATTAATATTATATAAATGTTATTTGGATGAATGATTATGACCTCACTGTGACGTCACTGGAACGATGGTTGATAAGGGGAATCATCCTTTATATCATTCCCAAATAGCTCTTTTTCTTCTGTTATTTTCATATTGGTGAACTATTGTAAATACTTCTGCCAGAATACTATCCATTTAATATATATATATAGTTATGGATTTACTTGATATATACAGTTAATATCAAATGTATATCCATTTAATATATATATATATATCCCATTTGATATATATATATATATCCCATTTGATATCCCCATGATAGTTGCTTAAATCCCCAAGAAGGCGAAATCAACCACTTCAGGACCTTAGCCCTTTTCAATGCTTCAGGGAGCTGGTACCTGGGCGGATGGGATGGCGGCTGCGGGCAGTCATGTAGCATCCAAGATGTTTTTCCGTTTGAAATCGGAAAATGAGCTTGTGAGACCACGGTCACTATGGGATGAAATCAAGTTTCAGATTCTGAGACAAGCCCATTGTGAAGTTAAGGTATTCCCATGTATTCCCTGCTACTTTGACAATCAGAGCACCCAAGTGAAATTGGCTCTGCCGGGCCATCTGAACTCTTCCAATTCAGCTCAATCTACCTCAAAATGGGAGATTTACGCGACAAGAATGACAAGAATGGGATAGGATGGGTATATAATGGTGTACATATATATATATTATCATACAATATATATATATATATCTTCAATATTGCAATTATATACATATATCGTATATCAGGTATATATGACCAATATGTTCATTCAATCCCAAGGGTATGCCGCTCTTCAACGTCAGGTACATGGATGAGCCCACGGATCGTTCTACCGGCGAAGTGGAGGAAGTGGAGGAAGCGGATGAGCAGGAAACCTCCAAAGAAATGAAGGTGCACAGCTTGGGTACTGTACCCTCTGGTAATTTAACATAGATAGTGAAAATTGCTATTTATGGCTGAATTACCCATTAATCATGTTGATTTTCTATAGCTATGTTAGTTTACCAGAGGGTATGCCGCATGCCTGATGTTTAATCCAAATTAATAAGGGTAAACCAATGCCATAAACCACCCATTTGGGAATTTATACCACCTATTTATGGTGATTTAAGAGATGGTTTATTATTTTTTAGTCCAATTTCTCTGTTTGTCTGGCAAACAATGGGGCATTTTTTTCTGATGTGATATCCTTTTGTCTAGAAAATGATGATAAACCCATGGGGATTTGTGCATGGCAAGCGAGTTTTGATTTTGTGAAAAATGGTGGACTCTGAGGGGTCAGTTTACAACGAGATTCGTTGCTTGGTCACATCCCCAGCTTCAGCGCTTCCATTTGAGACCTCAACATAGGTCATACCCTCTGGTAAACTAACATAGCTATTGAAAATCAGCATTTTTAATGGGAAAACTCCCTATTTCAATGGCCATCTATACCATATGCTATTTTGACATAACCAGAGGGTAGGTGGATGATTTTCGGTCTCGGGCTCCTCAGGAGTCCCACTGGAATGATTCTAATTCAGCCAGTTTTTTTGATCCGATGATATCCGATGTATCAAATATTACCATCCCATGTGATATCCCCGTGATAGTTGCGTAAATTCCAAGGAAATCACATGATCCTGCTTCTTCAACTCCTTCCCACGCCCCCCATTCACTGAAAAGAGAACGTAAGTCCCGTCATTTCGGGTAGTGCCCCTCCAAAAAGACAGGCACAACAACCATCAAGAACATATCACACAAATCAACCAATGCAAGAGGACCATAACAGGAAGGCTCACAGTTATGTTTGTTGGTTTACAAGCTCATTAACCCCATCGAATGGTTGGTTGCGGTAACCATTGACCATCACTATCACCACAACTAAAACCATAACGATAAGGAACTACAATCATAACCACCAACCATATTTATCAACCACAACCATAACCATACCTAAAACCGTAAGTATAGTCGTGCCTATCAAACATACCTACACTCACAACTATAAAGATATATTGTGCAACCATAACTATCAACCACAACTATCAATCACAACTTTCAACCATAACTACAATCACAGCTATAACTATAATCATAACTACCAACCATAAATATCATAAGTATCACAACTTTCAACCATAACTTATATGATCAACCACAACTCAAACAACTCAACCATCAACTATAACCACAACTATAACCTATATCAACCATACCATTCTATTATATAGAATTCTCAACCATCGTCCGTTCCAAGGCCCAAGGTCGCAGCAGCTACAACCGCGGCCTGCGGCTCTGGCGTTCCAAACGCTTCGCCGAGGCGGCCCAGCTGTTTCGCAGCGCCGCGCTGAACGGACACGCGAAGGGCGCCTATGCACTAGGGGTGATGCTGCTGAACGGTCCCTTGGGAAAATCATCAATGGTTCGGAATCTCTAGAGGAATCGAGATATCTTGGGGAGATGAATTTGGGGAGAGAATAGGGTGTGAGTGTGAATCTGTTTTATTTAAGCTTGTTCGTTTTGAATCTAATTTGTTTTTTTAAAGATTAATCATAGATAATTAGATAGATGTTGATGAAATATGATGAATCCATATTAAAACTTGCTTTATTTGTGAGCTTTGATGGGTTTGAGGACAGGGTTCTAATGAGGACAATCCAATGCCATAAATCATTCCCCCAGCATTGCTTTACTACTGGCTTTACTACACTACAAATGGGAATCCATTTGTAGAGCCATGGTGTGCCCCAGATTTCCTGATGTAATGAGCTAGGATTAGGATGCTTTGGATGGGGATATGGGACTAAATCCATTTGTAGAGCCATGGTGTGCCCCAGATTTCCTGATGTAATGAGCTAGGATTAGGATGCTTTGGATGGGGATATGGGACTAAATCCATTTGTACAGCCATGGTGTGCCCCAGATTTCCTGATGTAATGAGCTAGGATTAGGATGCTTTGGATGGGGATATGGGACTAAATCCATTTGTACAGCCATGGCGTGCCCCAGATTTCCTGATGTTGAGCAAGGATTAGGATGCTTTGGATGGGGATATGGGACTAAATCCATTTGTAGAGCCATGGTGTGCCCCAGATTTCCTGATGTAATGAGCTAGGATTAGGATGCTTTGGATGGGGATATGGGACTAAATCCATTTGTACAGCCATGGTGTGCCCCAGATTTCCTGATGATTAATGAGCTAGGATTAGGATGCTTGGATGGGATATGGGACTAAATCCCTTTGTAGAGCAGGTGTGCCCCAGATTCCTGATGTAATAGGAGGATTAGGATGTTTGGATGGGATATGGACAAATCCATTTGTAGAGCCATGGTGTGCCCCAGATTTCCTGATGTAATGAGCTAGGATTAGGATGCTTGGATGGGGATATGGGACTAAATCCATTTGTTACAGCCATGGTGTGCCCCAGATTTCCTGATGTAATGAGCTAGGATTAGGATGCTTTGGATGGGGATATGGGACTAAATCCATTTGTACAGCCATGGCGTGCCCCAGATTTCCTGATGTTGAGCAAGGATTAGGATGCTTTGGATGGGGATATGGGTACTAAATCCATTTGTAGAGCATGGTGTGCCCCAGATTTCCTGATGTAATGAGCTAGGATTAGGATGCTTTGGATGGGGATATGGGACTAAATCCATTTGTACAGCCATGGTGTGCCCCAGATTTCCTGATGTAATGAGCTAGGATTAGGATGCTTTGGATGGGGATATGGGACTAAATCCATTTGTAGAGCCATGGTGTGCCCCAGATTTCCTGATGTAATGAGCTAGGATTAGGATGCTTTGGATGGGGATATGGGACTAAATCCATTTGTAGAGCCATGGTGTGCCCCAGATTTCCTGATGTAATGAGCTAGGATTAGGATGCTTTGGATGGGGATATGGGACTAAATCCATTTGTACAGCCATGGTGTGCCCCAGATTTCCTGATGTAATGAGCTAGGATTAGGATGCTTTGGATGGGGATATGGGACTAAATCCATTTGTACAGCCATGGTGTGCCCCAGATTTCCTGATGTAACTGGGATTAGGATGCTTTGGATGGGGATACTATACCAAAGTTGGGATGTGAGGTGGGATTCTTGGGATGGTTATTGGGTTTACCACATGGGATATGGGCTATGGGCTATGGGCTTGTGTGGATGAACATGGGACATATTTTTTGCTACTGTTGGAGATCTTCAGGAAAAATGGGAGATGTTTTTGGCATGTTTAACGAGGTGTTTTGCATTTCTTTGAGGCAAATTCAATGATGGAACGTGGCCATACCAGGACCATGGTTGCACGTTTTTCCTCTTGGATGATATGATGATGCGATTTTCCTGAGGCGAAGGCATCAAAAAAGACGAGTTGTCTGCTGCGCAGTTTCTGCTTCAAGCAGCACAGGCGGGTGAGACAAAGGCCATGTACAACTTGGGACTGATGTATCTTGGCTGATCTTGCGGCCAAAACTCGGCCGGAGCTGGCAAGGGATAAGCGGGATCTTCATGGGATGTTAAGTGGCTTCATGGGATACATCATCAACTGGATATGATTTAAGTGGCTTAAGTGGCTTACAGGGATCATGATGATTGACTAGTGGAGTAGAGATGCCCAAGTCAGCAATTTTTCGCAAATTTTTGCATTTACAGATGCCCTCCTTTCCCAAAGTTTTGGGGTTACTTGAACCCACTTAGATAAACTTAATATGCTAATCCCTCAGTAAACTCACTTAATTACAGTATATACCATCTGGTTATTTAACATAGCCATGTAAAATCACCATTTTTAATAGGTAAACCATCTATTTTCATGGGCCATCTATACCATGGCTATGTTAAATAACCAGAGGGTAGATCTAGAAAACCCATGATGTCAGGGATATGATCTACCGCTGTGAATTTCCCATAAAGCGCGAGCTGCCGCAGCTGCCAAGGTACCAGCATGGCATTGGTACAGCCCTCAGTTTCAAGTTTTGTTTCAGGATGAGTTGAAACCACCAAGTTGCAAGTGGAACATTTATTGGATGATTTTGCTATAAGTGGAAGATGTTATTGGATGATTTCGCTGCAATGGAACATGGATCCCAATCTTGTACAGTTGGATGATTTTTGCGACTGCGTTTTCCACATGGAATCCACTGGAACATTGAAAACTGCAGAAACCTGTAAATTTGCAGTCTTCCTCAGCATTTGGAAGATGATTTCCCGTTCAAAACCGGGCTCTTCCCACTTCCATGTTTGTTTTTGCAAAGTAGGTTCTTTAAGACTTTGTTACCCTCATCCCCATCTTGGGCTATTCGAGTACTGTACACCGACATAGCCCCTTGGTAAAATGCTTGAAATCTTCACCTACCTACTTAGTACTGAAAACGAATTGACACCAGGAAAGACCAAAACATAAATCTCATTGCCAGAAAATTCGCTGAAGGTAAAATCGAAACCGGAACCCAGATTTTTTTTGTTATTTTTAACGCAGATGTAAAACCCATGGTTCCCCGTAGATGTTCCCTTCGACCCATTGAATCCTTCGACAGGCGTACGTCGGGATGCCGAGAAAGCGTCCAGCTGGACCCTGATGGCTGCGGATGAGGGGCACCGAAAGGCCTGGTTTTTGTGGAGGTCCAGGCGTGGAAAATTCTGGATTTCGATGGATAGTAATGGTTAGTAATGCTTAGTAATGATTAGTAAAGTAACGGTCAATAATGGTTAGCAATGATTAATAATGGTTAGTAAGACCAAAAATATATACATATATCATATCTATCTGGTTGGTGGTTTGGAACATTAATTTTATGACTTTCCATGTATTGGGAATGATATATAATCCCAACTGACTTTCATATTTTTCAGAGGGGTAGGTATACCACCAACCAGGATAGTAATCCCCAAAAGAATCGAAAAGATAGAAAAGGTTATCTCAAATTTATCACTTTTCGCAAGGTGCTGAACTCTATATCTCCTTTGGTTGCTACAAACATCGAGATTTAAACCATCCAAAAACTGACTCATGATCAAAACATGTGGGTTTAATGGTTTAACTACTATCAAAATTGGAGACCATATGGGTTCAAGAAAATCGATGAATGGTATCTGATATTGGATCCCTGTGTCCTTGGTTCGACAGATGGTTTGATGACTATGCTAGTATGAATCATATAGTGTACATCCACCACGTATATGATAGCACCCGGCGCACCCAGCGCACCCGGCGCACCCGGCGCAACCTCGACTTGAAGTCACAGCTTCCCGCTGCACTGTATTATGCCACAATAGTAGGTGATATGCCAGGCCATATCCATACATGTTATTGCCACATATATCCTGAATTGACCAGGCTTTGCGCAGCAAACATGTGAAGATTTTCGGGTCTGGGCCATGGTTAGACCCTTGGCAGCGGGACTATTGTTGGGTGTAGAGGGCCTGGATTTTATGTGGATTTCATGGCTTAAATGGTGATATAAAACGGGATATTCATGGGATATTGTTTATTTGCGTTGTTCTTTTTTGTTTTAAATGGGATGTACAACCAACTTGATATGATATTTGGCGGTGTCTGAAAATCACGCTATACCCACAGTTTCTGCGCGTTTTGATAGGGAACACGATGATAAATCAGGGGATTTACGGGTACACTTTCCAGGTTAAAGAATTGTTTCGAAAAGCATGGGAACTTGAAGCAACTGGTCCATGGGGTCAGTCCATTGGAACTAGTATAATGTCAAGCCTGGATTAATAAACCCTTAGGCTGTTTAATTGGGGGGGTTACCATTTAAGTATTGGATTATGACAATTGGAGGAGTACCCCCCTAATTAATAAATCAGGGTTTATTATATAATCCGGGGTTGACATTATCAGAAAAAAAGGCGCCTAAGTGTTGAGGAACTTGGAATATCTTAGGATATTGCTGAAAATCCCATCGAAACTCCCATCAGAACCAAGGATTATGACCCCCAAGAAATGGGAGTCGAACGAATCACCAAAGAGGCCCGGCTTGTGACAACCGCCTGTAGCCGCACGGAAAGACAGTCTTAAGATTGGACACATGTTACATACTTATTCGTTCTTCTTGCAATGGGATACCATATAATGTTTCTGGATATTATTGGCTATTAATGACTATTAATGGATAGTAATGTATATTGATATATATATATATATATATTAATGGACATTAGTGGATAATAATGGATACCAGTGGTGTATATTGACATATATTGACGGAGATTGATATTCAACGATAGTGGTATGGATATGTGTAAGGATATTAGTATTCATAAACTACAAACAATAAACACATAAATATATATATATATACACATAAATATCATATATATATATACACAGTGATGGGAAAATGACATACATTATGGGAATATCCTCCATATTATGGCATAATATAATATATATATAATGTTATGCATCATTATGTGAATATATATATATATTATATGCCATAGTTCTGAATGGGAAATATATCCTCCATCCAAAGAATTTTCGTTCAGAATGCTTGATTCATCGCCAGGGATCCGATCGAGTTGTTTTTTTTCCATCGATTGATCTATTTGTGATGGGATCTCACGTGATTGTTGTATAGTTCTATGTTATTCTATATTTACTGTCATCACATATATATATATATATACATGTATGTGTATATATATATATATATATGTAATTAACATACATTTATATATGTTGTTCTTTGTAGCTCGTGGCTGAGATCATCGTTCAACCACTTACGTGAGAATGTTGACTTGAAACTGATTAACTTGATCAAGAAATGATTCTACCTGAAATCATTTAGATTATCCCAAAAAGGTCGAGCCCAGCCCTTGGAAACAGGCAGAAGCTGGGAATTTCCATGCGCAGTCGGAAGCCACAGACATGGATGAAATATGGGACGAGACCTGGATGCCCCCTTGGTGTTGCCGAAAAAGGGATGGACAAAACCGTGTTAACCAAAAATTAACCCATTAACCAAGGGATGGACAACATTCACCAACCATTACTCAATATTAATTGTGAAATTATAGGGAAACATATCTGGAAACGGTCATATATGGCATCATGTTTTTCCTTTCACGACTGTCTCTACAAGATTTGTTCACCTACCCAAAATCCCACTTAGCTACTGAGCAGAGCTGCAGAATTTGATTTGAGACGTGCGCATCGATATGTATGGATCGTTTCTTCAGGTGCTTCCCAAGACATCATTAAGCATCCAACCAACTTAAACCAACCATTAACCAATCATAAAGCAACCATTAAGAAACCATTAAGCATCCATTAAGCAACCATTAAGCAACCATTAAGCAACCATTAAGCAACCATTAAGCAACCATTAAGCAACCATTAAGCAACCATTAAGCAACCATTAAGCAACCGTTAAGCAACCATTAAGCAACCATTAACCAACCATTAAGAAACCATTAAGCATCCATTAAGCAACCATTAAGCAACCATTAAGCAACCATTAAGCAACCATTAAGCAACCATTAAGCAACCATTAAGCAACCATTAAGCAACCATTAAGCAACCATTAAGCAACCATTAAGCAACCATTAAGCAACCATTAAGCAACCATTAAGCAACCATTAAGCGACCATTAAGCAACCATTAAGCAACCATTAAGCAACCATTAAGCAACCGTTGAGCAACCATTAAGCAACCATTAAGCAACCATTAAGCAACCGTTAAGCAACCATTAAGCAACCATTAAGCAACCATTAAGCAACCATTAAGCAACCGTTAAGCAACCATTAAGCAACCATTAAGCAACCATTAAGCAACCATTAACCGCAACCATTAAGCAAACCATTAAGCAACCGTTAAGCAACCATTAAGCAACCATAACCATTAAGAAACCATTAAGCAACCATTAAGCAACCAGAAGCAACCATTAAACCATAAGCACCATAAGGCAACCATTAAGCACAATTTAAGCAACATTAAGGGCAACCGCTAAGCAACCATTAAGCAACCATTAACCAACCATTAAGCAACCATTAAGCACCATTTAAGCAACCATTAAGCAACCATTAAGCAACCATTAAGCAACCCATTAGCCCACCATTAAGCAACCATTAAGCAACCGTTAAGCAACCATTAAGCAACCATTAAGCAACCGTTAAGCAACCATTAAGCAACCACTAAGCAACCATTAACCAACCATTAAGCGACCATTAAGCAACCATTAAGCAACCATTAACCAAGCATCAAGCAACCATTAAGCAACCATTAAGCAACCATTCAGCAACCATTAACCAACCAGCAAGCAACCATTAAGCAACCATTAAGCAACCATTAAGCAACCGTTAAGCAACCATTAAGCAACCATTAAGCAACCTTGCAACCATTAACCAACCATTAAGCGACCATTAAGCAACCATCCAAAATATCCAGCATCCCCTGGTGTTTATTAGCATCCCAGGTTCAAACTGGGCACCATGCACTACGAAGGAGATCAAGTGAAGTTGGATAAGGACTGATCTGGGGAAGCGCCAGATCTAATCAGGATCAACTCTGATTTATAATGGGAATACTGGAGATGAAGGGATATTTCTGGTTTACTGTAACACACCAACGACAGTGGTTTATAACTAACCAACAAACAAATTCTGTATAATTAAGATCAATTAGCCCACTATATAATGATTTATAACCATAATGGCTTATGACTAACCAACTATGATTTTCTCAAAGGTCTACTCCGAAAGTCTCGAATTTGAAGATATTTCTGACGAAATCCCAATAAAACCTCCATGGAAAATGTGATGATAATCCCCCCTCACAGCCAACTTCGCTCAGCGCAGGCATTGGCTGCATATTGGTTCATGCAAGCTGCTCAAGCAGGTTTGGATGAAGCACAATATCAGATCAGCAGGCAGGATGGCGCCCAAAATGTTTCCAGACGCAACATCTTCTTCCAGTATTTGTTTTGGGGTAAATGGATGTAAATGGTGCCTATAGATTGTAAATGGGAAGCTTATCAAGGGAGATATTTTTGGGTACATACAATATCTATAATGTCAAGCCTGGATTAATAAACCCCTAGGCTGGTTAATTGGGGGGGTACCATTTAAGTATTGGATTATGACTATTGGAGGAGTACCCCCCTAATCAATAAACCATGGTTTATTAATCCGGGGTTGACATTAGTAATTATTCAATGGGAACATCATCCATATTGAAAATGGCCATTTATAGTGGATTTTCCCATGAAAAATTGTGATTTTCCATAGCTATGTTAAATTACCAGAGGGTACATTGAACATCTCGTTATCTTCCGTTCGTCGATGAATTCACCTCTCGGGCTTCCAGGATGCTGACATGTCCAGGATGGTGTCAGTCATCAACCCTGCTGAAGCATGCTGAAACAAGGGCCTCTTCCTACCTGGCTCAACCATGCCTTGACTCTAACAAAGTTAAACTATCAACTGTTATATATTGCAACTTACAATATATGTATGTCGTATATATATATATATGTATACAATTACTGTTACTTGATATTACTTGACAACAGTCATGCTTTCTGATTTCTTAATATCATCACATAAAAAAACTGACTTCCTAATTCCAAGCATCATTTCGAACTACCATTCGCATATCACATTTGTCATACCAGTCATACCAAAACCGCAGAAAGTTTGTGCCCAAAAAATCCAGCCATCTCCAGCTGAAGCCGACGCTGTCAGGATGCTCTTCCAGGGCGATGGCGTGGAAGCCGACGCCGCCTATGCCCTGCGATTCCTGCAGGCCGCGGCCGAGAAGGCGATGGGACGATACCCAGGGTGTGGTGGTGTCATTGGGAGATCCGAATGGATTTGAAATAGATGGATTTATAAACCAATTAATGGAGGTTAGATGGATTAATATGGATTTTTTTAATGGATTTATGGTAGATATATAACTAAATGTAACTAGTTGTTGGATGCCGAATGGATGTTGAATGGGATTTATACACCAATTTATGGAGGTTAGATGTTGGGACAGTCGTGGAACTATGGATGGGGAAGGATGATAAACGATACTTTGGATTTCACCAAGAAGTACGGAATGAACCAACGAACGATGAGGATTTCACCACCTGTCAAAATATGACATAGAAATACATAGAATATGGAAGATAGAACCACTGATGCTGGTTGGTGGTATCAAGAATATTTCTAATTCTGCTTGGTGGTTTGGAACATGAATTTTATGACTTTCCATTCAGTTGGGAACAAGAATCCCATTTTTTATTTTTCCATATTTTTCAGAGGGGTAGGTATACCACCAATATGTCTGAATTTTTCACCATAGAAATTGGATCATTGGGATGATCCCGAGGAGCAACAGATATTTTTGCTGCATCACAGTTTCGGAGGGATGGATCAACATGAATCAACCAGCAAGCAGTTTTATGGGACGAAGATGGATGAAGACAACTGATATATATATATAATATAATATATTATATATAATATATATATAATATAAGATATTATATATATAATATATATATATATTATATACTGTAATACTGTAATGTTCTTTGTTTCTTGTTTTCTGATTTCAACAAATTGGATGATGGTGGTGGTGGTGATGATGATGATGAGGCGGAGGACCCTTTGGTGGGTTATATACAAAGCAGTTTGGATTCTTGAACAAGAGCTCATGGCAGACCTCATGGCTGACCAAGCCCCATGGTGCTTCAGATTTGGAAAACTATCAACATGGCCTGAAGCGATTGTAAACTCTGTAAATTCTCCGAGCAACCCCTCAAAAAGAGGAAAGACATCAATTTTTGTGATTGCCAAAGTTGGGATATGACTATGATATGACCATATATATCATATAGCTCCAAAGAAAATGAACGAAAACGAGTCTGGGAGATGATCGTCTTGAAAATTTTTGGGGGTTCCATCTGCCCAAATCGTCGTGCGGAACCGATGCCCCAGGGTCATCCGGAATCGATGCATAACCTGGGTGTGAAGCTCTACTTTGGAGAGGGCATGGACAGTGACAGGCGAAGACATCCCGAAGAACCTGGGGGCATCCCGGCATACCCGTGGTCCAAAAAGGTCCGTTAAAAGGTAGGTAAATGCTTGGCTGGATAAGAATATGGGTATGTCTGAAAATAGGGTACCCCTAAACCCAATGGTTAATGATCATTATCCCTATTAAATGGCTATAATTGGGAATATACCCTATTTTCAGACAAACCCATATAATTAACAATAATAATAGGGGCGTATATTAGATATTTGAATCATCTTGAATCTATCTTTGATCTGTTCCGGGACGTGGAATGATGGACCTTTACTAAGCACTTTCACGGGCTTCAGTAGTTCCAAGCCCATGAGAGTTGAGAGTATCTGGATGGCAAGCTATCATCATGGGAAGCTGTGCCCATATTGGCCCATACCCAATATTACCCAAGTGTGTCTGAGTCAAATTTGGATAACTTTGGTATGTACATTCTTATTGTAAAGAACGGTCCTGCCACGAATGTCTTGTTCATATATACAACCTTTCATTAAATCCCATGGGTTGCTCCGTTGATGCTGGCCTTTAGCAACATACAAAAATGATGGTTGACTCTCAATGCTTGCCGGTGTGCCACATTTTTGGAGAGGTTGGAGAGGGCAGAAAAATATGAATTCCCTCTATTGCTGGTTTATCCCCATCTATTGCCATGGAATTTATTGGTTTCCCCACAGTCAATCTCCATAAGCCATCTATTGTCATTAATAATGGGAATCTATTGCTGGTGAAAAAAATGATTCCCATCTATTGCAGGCGCGCAGCTGCAAGCTGGTTCCTCAAGGCCGCTGAACAGGACCCAACGCTGGAATTTTCTCAAGGCCTCAGTTGGAGATTGACCTCATTTTGTTAAATTTTTTAAAAGAGATATCTTAAAATGAAATATTGACATATTGAAACGTGTTTTTTTTTGAGATTGAGATGGATTGTTGAATGCAGTAAAAGCGGTTAAAACCATAAATTCCCACGATTTCTCAATAGTGCTGTGTTTCTAGGGCCACTTGGTTGTGGCAAAAATGACAACCAGCCGGCTGCTTTGTTCAAATTTGCCCACTTCAGGCGTTCAGAACATCCCTGGGTTTGCCTGCTTTTATAGGGTCCCATAAGATCCAATGGTTGAGCACATCCATTTTGCCCTTCACATGATTTTCAAATGGCCATTTTTTGGGGGGTCCATCCCCATTGTTGACCAGCGGCCATTTTTTTTGGGGGGTCCATGATGGGTGAGATTCAGGTATCTTCCCACATGTAGCTGGATCACACCATCCCAAAAAATGCTTGTAGATGTTGACATGTTTTGACCCGTACCCAGGCCAGTTGTTGGTGAATAATTATCAACTATCCTCTGGTTATTTAACATAGCCATGGAAAATGGCCCATTTATAGATGATTTTCCCATTAAAACCTCCATTTATAAGGGATTTTCCATGGCTATGTTAAATAACCAGATGGTAGTACCATTTTTCGTGGTGCTTAAATCCAAAACACGTGCATTTTTTATTTGATGAATTTGCAGTTAAGTCCCATCGAGGACTTACCGGCAGCGCAGAACAACATTGGCAGGGAACCCCAGCAATGATCATCTCAAGTTGAAGAAAAGGGGTGTGACAACCCCAAAAAAGGAGATTCAACCAACAATAAGGGGCAAGTTCACCAGCAATAAAGGGGATTCACAGTTCATGAAACTGGTTGGTGGGTTCAGTTTCATTTGTACATGTTCAACTGTTCAACCATTCCGAACCCTTTTTTTTGTTCAACGGAACATCGACATCCGAAACTTCTACCTGTTCAACATCAAAAATGCCATGGTTTCCTCCCATTTTTCAAATACCAATCCATTGAAGCATCGTGTTCTCTCCGAGGCTGGATGCTCTACTGTGGAGAAGGCGTACCAATGAACACCCAGGTCCGGCTGACGATGACGATCCTAAATGAGCGGTGGGATGAACATCGATGGCGAATTTGAAAACTGCCATCTTTGATTGCCAGAGAGTATTAATAATATGTAATTAATAGCTGTATGATAAATAATTAGTATGGCTAATCTATAAAAAAATTAGATAATCTGTATGATAAATAGATTAGCTGGAATTGGCTAATTATCTCTTGAGAGTATGATTTTAGATGATTTTAGATACTGTATGAGATGCAATGGGGATATGTTCAAGATATATATAGATATTATTTGGATGAAGTGTAGTAATTACAAAAAATAGTCGCTACCTCACTCTGACATCATGTGGAAGCATGCCCAAATTTGCCCAAATAATCCGGTTTGGGATTGATTAATATCAGTTATAAGTTGTAAGCCATACAGAGGGATTGGTCTGTTTTCACAGCTCCTGTACACTGTGCCCTGTGCCCTTCTTTGTTTTCTCATGAACATGGCCGCAGATCGAGGTCTTGCCTCATTGGTAGAAGCAATCCTACAAATATCTACAAATCATAGAAGACCTGTGCAGGTTTGTCTCAGGATAGGGTAAACTTTAAACCAAAGTCTCATGGCTGTTCATCAATTCACAGACATAATTATACTTAAATTTGGGGTCTATATAGTATACCAGTATACCGTACTATACAGTATCCCCCATTTCCAGACCGACACAGTTTGATATTGTGAGAGAAGAGTATATACCTGTGTTCGTGCATCAATCAGGTTGGAGCTAGCAGGTTTGTTCATATCATAGGATTTTTTGGGGTACCAGGAGCACGGCGGAATCGCGCTGTTCATTGAGCCCCAACGGCTAAGGCTTAAGGGATGTGTGTCAACGGCTGTTTTTCAGCTGTTTTTCAGGGAAAATCTACAGGAATCCCCGATCATTATTTTGGGGGCTGAATATACATGAATATACCCTTCGGTCAACGTTGAACTATGGGAAATCACCATTTTTAACGGGTAGATCAACAAACAAAATTGGCTATCTTCAATAGCTATGTTGAAATTACCAGAGTGTATTTCCCCTTAACATCCCCATTTTTGTTGGTTCAATCCCTATTTAATCACCATTAAATCACCATAGTAATTCTTTGCTGCAGATTTTTCTTTCAACCAAAGCGTTGCAAGAAGCAGCTGCAAGGCTGGCGTGTCCTGGCTTGAGAAGGCAGCCGACAGAGGCAATGAGGTGCGGGTTTGCAAAAAAAAACCGCCAGGGTCAATCGAAATGGCAACATTAAGGGAGTAACTCCCTCATGTTTTCGGACTAGCCCATTGACCAATGGTTTGATTCACCGAAGATTTTGCAGGAACGACCGAAAAAAATCAACACACGTGTCCTGAAGATTTCTCTTGCATTTGTATTTATGTATGTGGGGCATAGAAGTAACAAAGTGCTACAAAAATTAGGTAGAACATGGAAAGTGCATCAACACTTGGGGATGTAGTCCCAGAACTAGTGTGTTTTGATTGAATGAATAGGTATGACATAGTGGAGGATGTTGTTTTCAAGGATCAGCGACAATGACTGTTGGCTCAAACACGTGAGTAGCATATGGTGTAATAACATGGAATCGGGTGCTTGTGTGTGTGTGTGTGTGGAACATCTGAAGAGATGTAAAACTTCTACCTTGATTGACGGAATTGCTTTTTCTTATCCTGAACCAGTTTTGAGTATTTTACCAGGCGTTTATCCAATCCCCTTTTCAATTGCAGGGGGCGTGATGGTTGATTTCCTAGTCACGCCAACGAAGCTATGGAAATCAACTGGATGGAAGTTTGGACGCAAACTTCTGTACCTGCAGTGTCGCTCCTGGGCGCATTCAAGTCGCAGCTGGGGGACACGTCATGCTGTGTTTTCTGTTGTTGTTTAACTGCATTGTCACGTGCCAACCAAACTTCAACCTGAGGTTTCTCACTTCTGATCATTCAATGGCTCCTGTCAGGTTTAATTGGAGTGTTTTTGCACGTAAGATGCATTCCACATCAGAATTTGCAAAGATGTTTCTGAGCAAGTGTGTGATTCATGCTGGATTCGTCAAGGTGGCATGAACCCCTCGGGGAAAGCTTTTCCAAGCTAAGACTTGACACTTCGAAATGACCTCTGAATTGACACTTTTGAATTAGCAATTCGTCTAAGTAACGTGAAACAGCTGGCCATTTTTCGGTTTTCATGCTGTCGACTGTCGCTTGGTTGAACAGCATGCCGCTGTGCCTGGCTTCACCTTTTCTTTTGTCTGAATTTACACTTTTGAACTAGTAATTCGTTCAAGTAAAGTGAACAGCTGGCCATTTTTCGGTTTTCACCCTGTCGAATGTCGTTTGGTTGAACAACGTGCCGCTGTGCCTGGCTTCACCTTTTCTTTCCTCAAAAATCAGCAACAGGACATGCTTTAGGTGTGGTTGTTCTTTCCTTTTATGGTCGTTGGTGAGGTTCAATTGTGCACGTAATTCAGGGGTTGACAACTTAAGCCGTTTACAGGGTTGTGACATGAAAGCCGAGGGCCTTTGAGCCTTATCACGAAAAATGCACGTAATGTGGATGCATCTTATTTCATCAACTAGTTCCCCATTGGTCCCCTATCTCATGCGCGCTTTCCTCTCTAGGTCAGGTTTGGGTCCTTCGCGTTCCTAGGTAGGCTTTGGCTCTCGCCTTGTAGGTTGTGTCAGGCGCTTCTGTCCGCCCCCCCTCCTCTGGTTGGTTTTTTGGCCCGTCGTCCGTCCGCTTTTTCTTTTTCCTTGCCCTTTCAGGGTTTGCCCGTTTCGGGCCAGGTGTGTTGGTGTTGGTGTTCTCTCTTTTTCCTTTTCCTTTTTGCGTTCCCCCTCTTGCGTTCCGGTTCAGTAATTGTCATCTCATTTTCATCGTCATCTCATTTTCATCTTTCCTTCATCTTCACCTTCATCTCATTCGTCGGGGCCTTAAAAAGCCTCGCGGCAGCGGGGCGTGTGTGTGGAACATCTGAAGAGATGTAAAACTTCTACCTTGATTGACGGAATTGCTTTTTCTTATCAGGTTCTTTGCCATTACAATGAACCAGTTTTGAGTATTTTACCAGGCGTTTATCCAATCTCCTTTTCAATTGCAGGGGGCGTGACGGTTGATTTCCTAGTCACGCCAACGAAGCTATGGAAATCAACTGGATGGAAGTTTGGACGCAAACTTCTGTACCTGCAGTGTCGCTCCTGGGCGCATTCAAGTCGCAGCTGGGGGACACGTCATGCTGTGTTTTCTGTTGTTGTTTAACTGCATTGTCAAGTGCCAACCAAACTTCAACCTGAGGTTTCTCACTTCTGATCATTCAATGGCTCCTGTCAGGTTTAATTGGAGTGTTTTTGCACGTAAGATGCATTCCACATCAGAATTCGCAAAGATGTTTCTGAGCAGGTGTGTGTCTGAATTGGTTCCACGGTTGTTCTTCAACAGTGGTTGATACGTAATACCTGGTATGTCGTTGATTTGAGGTGCGTGGTTGTTTGATAATTCATCAAATCAAGTCGCCAGTTGATTCTTTGACACCTCCCTGTCTGCACCATCCAAGAGGGACGACAGAAAAAGTGAAGGGAAATGAGTCTTTATATAATTCCATAGATTACACAGAGATTTGTCTTGCAGCACAAGTTGCCAGAGTTCAAGTATCGTCTCCTTTCATTTTGATTCTCAGATCACCACCAAATTGGAATCAGCAATTTGATTGATATGAGCGCCAATCAGGGTTTCACCCAGACACCATGAAAAAAAAGATGGCATCTTTTGGCCAGTGTTTATGGGTTCAATGGAATGTTCCTTGGCCGCTACCTGCCAGGAGGCTCAATATCACCTATTGGCCATCAGGGGCTCAATGATTTCAGGTGCGATGTGTGGGTGGACATAGTATGGAACATATGAGGAAGAGTTGGACCAGCTGAATGTGGCTATTGTTGGAGTGGAATTTGTGTGTTTCACAGATTTTGGTAACGCAAACCACAACAGGGGTAAGGGGATGGTTGTTTAAACAGATATATTGTGGCTCTTCACTAGAGTTTGATCCCAAAAATGCTGGTCATGGGTTGGGTGTGTTTAAAGGGTCGGGTGTGGTGGACCATCCATATGGTGTTTTTGTTCCTCAATTATTGCCCAAGCCATTTCTTGGCCCGTTTTTGGACCATCCCAACTTCATGCTGTATAGAGAAAACTGAAGACGGAGGACCTCATGCCTTGCCGAAGAGGCTCAATATTTCACGAGCTCACATGACAGTAATATGTTGAGTTGACCTCAATGCTTCAAATAAACGTTGCTCTGCCCAGTGGAAAGCGTAAAAGTCTGACAGTTGACGAGTCCTCCAAAGTTGGGGACTTAAGGATCTTGGCCCAGCAATCATTTGGACAGGGTTTCCTGAAGCTTGTGTCCGCAACTGGACGTTGCCTTGCTGACCCTGCAGAAACTCTACTAGCTGCCGGGATTGGAGAAGGCGACCACGTCACTGCTATTGTGCAACAAGCCAACCTGGCTGCAACTGAAGATGCCTTTGCCCTGTGGTGCTGTGGGGGAGATAGGGTCCTCACATGGGGCAATCCGGAAGCCGGCGGTGACAGCTCTAGCGTCCAAGATCAGCTGAGGAATGTGCAGCAGATCCGGGCGACGCTTAGCGCATTTGCAGCCATCCTGGCGGATGGATCTGTTGTGACCTGGGGCGATCCTGGCGCCGGTAGTTGCAGCTCTGACGTCCAAGATCAGCTGCGACATGTGCGGAAGATCGAGGCGACAGATAGTGCATTTGCAGCCATCCTGGCCGACAGATCAGTTAATACTTGGGGCGATCAAGACGCTGGCGGTGACAGCTCCAAAGTCCAAGATCAGCTCCAGAATGTACAGCAGATCCGTGCTACCAACGGCGCATTTGCGGCCATTCTGGCGGATGGATCGGTTGTGACCTGGGGCGATCCAGATGTCGGTGGAGACAGCTCTTACGTCCAAAGTCGGCTGGACAAAGTGCATCAGATCCACGCCACACGCAATGCATTTGCAGCTATCCTTGCCGATGGATCGGTTGTAACGTGGGGTGATCCCGAAGGCGGCGGAGACAGCTTTGCAGTCCACAAACAGCTGAGGAATGTGCAGCAGGTCCAGGCCACACGTATTGCATTTACAGCAAACCTTGCAGATGGATCTGTTGTTACGTGGGGCGATCCACTTGCCGGCAATGACAATTCTGAAGTCCAAGATCGACTCAGGAACGTGCGGCAGGTTCAGGCAACATCTTATTGCATGTCTGCAATCTTGGCCGACGGATCTGTTATTACATGGGGTCTAGGAATTGGAGAACTTGAAGCCCCAGATAACTTGAGAAATGTGCAACAGATTCAGGCAACAGTCGGTGCATTTGCAGCCATCCTGGCGGATGGATCTGTTGTGACCTGGGGCGATCCTGACGTCGGTAGTGACAGCTCTCACGTCCAAGATCAGCTGCGACATGTGCGGAAGATCGAGGCGACAGATAGTGCATTTGCAGCCATCCTGGCCGACAGATCAGTTGTTACTTGGGGTGATCCAGATGCTGGCGGTGACAGCTCCAGAGTCCAAGATCAGCTCCGGAATGTACAGCAGATTCAGGCGACTGGCAGCGCATTTTCCGCCATTTTGGCAGACAGATCGGTTGTTACGTGGGGAAATCCACATGTTGGCGGAGACAGCTCTGACTTCCAAGAGCAGCTCAGGAATGTGCAGCAAATCCAAGCAACAGACGGTGCATTTGCTGCTATCCTGGCCGACAGATCAGTTGTTACTTGGGGTGATCCAGATGCTGGCGGTGACAGCTCCAGAGTCCAAGATCACCTCGGGAATGTACAGCAGATTCAGGCGACTGGCAGTGCATTTTCCGCCATTTTGGCAGACAGATCGGTTGTTACGTGGGGCTATGCAGATGGCGGCGGAGACAGCTCTGACGTCCAAAGTCGGCTGGACAATGTGCAGCAGATCCACGCCACACGTAATGCATTTGCAGCTATCCTTGCCGATGGATCGGTTGTAACGTGGGGTGATCCCGAAGGCGGCGGAGACAGCTGTGACTTCCAAGAGCAGCTCAGGAATGTGCGGCAGATCCATGCGACAGATGGTGCATTTGCAGCCCTTCTGGCCGATAGATCTCTTGTAATGTGGGGCGGTGAAGAATACGGTGGTGACAGCTATGGAGCCCAAAATCATTTGAAGAATGTGCAGGAGGTGCACGCAACACGTATTGCATTCACTGCTATCCTTGCAGATGGATCTGTCTTTGTTTGGGGCAAATCGGGTGTCAGTGTTGGCACCTCTAGAGTTCATGATCAGCTTCGAAATGTGCAGCAGGTCCAATCCACACATGGCGCAATCGCTGCCATCCTGGCCAACGGCTGTGTCGTTGCACATGGCGATCCAGATGCCGGTGGTGACAGCTCTGAAGTCCAAGATCAGCTGCGACATGTGCAGAAGATCGAGGCGACAGATAGTGCATTTGCAGCCGTCCTGGCCAACAGATCAGTTGTCACTTGGGGCGATCCAGATGCTGGCGGTGACAGCTCCAGAGTTCAAGATCAGCTCCGGAATGTACAGCAGATCCGTGCTACGAACAGCGCATTTGCTGCCATTCTGGCGGATGGATCGCTTGTGACCTGGGGCGATCCAGATGCCGGTGGAGACAGCTTTGAAGTCCAAGATCAGCTGACATATTTATGTGATATATATATATATATTTGTATATATTTGTATAAATTTGTAGCATTTTGTAGTGGCGCACTCAGGGTGCTATCGAAAAATCATGGCGATTGTTTGTTGATTTGTTCCAGAAGCGCCAGAGCAAAAGAATGCAAAGTGAGGCCGTGGTTCCAGGACAACTTCACGATGAATCTTCAAGCCGTGCTCAGGATATTTATCTTCCATCTGCATGTATTGGTTGAATTGACTGTCCAATCAGTACTTGGTGTGCCCCTGGCAGGCTCCTGA